TTTTTTTTTTTTTTTTTTTTTTGGGTTAAAAGAACCACCCCCAACGGGTGGAAGATTAAGGTCGAATCCTTAACCTGTATATAATTAAAATTTTAAATTGGGCCGAAGAAATCAAAGGTCTACATACATGTCCAAACAAACGCGGAAAACAAAAAAAGGAGAAAAGGAAAAGAACAACCACTTAAAATGAGAGTCTGAACCTGGGTTGGAAAGTGCCCAGGCGAACAATCTGAACCATGAAATGTTCCCAAGTACAAAAAATACACAAAGTACTAAACGACTACCGAAATTTGAACGAGGGGTAGCTGTCCTGATCCATCCGCACAAGGGTGCGCAGGCGAAGATGGGCGTCGTCTCGGCCAAAGTGCGCCTCTAGAGAGTGGATGCACCGAGGCTGGCTGGGAAGTCAGCGGGTCGGTTCTCCTCGCGGAAGATGTGCAAGATCTCGTGACGAACCGACTGAAGTGTGGATCTGATGCGCATGAGCGGGTGCTGAATCTTCCATGAGCCCTGATAGCCCGAGGTCAAGAGGGCGGCAACGACAACAACATCCAACTCAATCCAAATATGAGTAGAGATAGAGACTGCAATTTGTAGACCGATGTGAAGCGTCTGAATCTCTGCGTCATAGTTCGAGAAGGCCCGAAGAGGGGCATGGAAGACAACAATGAGAGCTCTGGGGTGGTCCCTAATTCGGCTCCCACCTCCGCCGGCTCCGGTAAGTCGGTCAAAGGATCTATTAGTGTTCAGCTTGACTTAAGGGGAGTCGGGTCTCAGCCAAACAATGGCTCTGGGCCATGGGTGCTGGACATGCGGCAGTGGAGGCGACATGAAACGGTGGGGCGGCGTGCAACCTTTCCAGTCTCTAGGCGTGAGTCTTCCCAGAGTTATGGTGAGGGAGAGATGTCGATCAGCCTGCAAAATAATATGAGAGCACATAATATCCCTATGTTTCGCACTATTCCTCCATTCTAGATGAATCACAAGACTCAGGAGCTCAAACAATTTGTCTGTAGTGGAAAGGGGTATAAGAGTATAGCTGGAAAAATGCTTCCACACTCTCCTCGCAACCTCGCTCTCTGAAAAAAAAGTCGTGATGTTTTAGCAATATGGTAAAAGGTTGTGATATTCTCTGCCAAGGTCCAAAAGTCGTGATGTTTTAGCAATATGGTAAAAGGTCGTGATATAACGAGCTATTTTGCCTAATTAATTTTGACGACGTCCACTTAATTAAATGTTTGGCCTAGCAATTATATATATAGATACATGAATAGCACATAATATGTGTAGCTTAATAAATTAACGTACCTGATTTGAGTGTGTTGGGACTCAATCTCCTTGTGAGCCTTCTCCCACACTGTGTCAAAAGAATCGGTGGACGTGTTAAGCCACAGCTTCAACACATTGTCGGAACTCTCCACCCTACACGACGTGGTGTTACCCAAATACAATAAGTGATTCGTCCACGCTTTGACAAATTTTTCCTTGTGGACTAACCACGTATCCTCTACGTACTCTATAACAAGAGGGAACGTCTTGTACCGAAGCTTCATGTCCTTGACGGCAGAGTCGTACTCGACCACCGTGCTCGCTTCCAGGATCTTCTTCCACCGACCGCGCGTGAACATCTCGGCGAATTGACTATTTTTGTGGGCGATTTTATAGACCCTCTGTTCCACATCCTTGTTGATGTGCCACGTGCAAAGAAGGTGGGCAGACATCGGAAAATTAATCATAATAGGATTAATCAACCCCATCTCCCTGTCAGTGACAATGATTGAAGGATGTACATCAGGCCCAATCAGATCTCTCAACCGCTTCAGAACCCAGGCATAGCTGTTCTGGCTCTCGTCCTTCACAATTGCATATGCAATCAAGAAATTCTTGTTGCACGGTGTCATCCCTATTATTTCCACAAGCGGCATCTTGTACCTGTGCAAATGAGGGCAACAAAATCAAACAAAAAATAAAAAAACGTACCTACTCAGACATAATAATTAAAACCAGGTACTAAATTATTATTTATAAAGTAACGTACCTGTTGGTTTTGTACGTCGAATCTATACCGACGTACCAATAATATGTCTGAAAGAGAAGGGCTGACTGGGGATGCGACATGAACACACGTGTCAAGGTGTGTGTATCCTTATTAGAATCGGTGAAAACTATGTAATTAGTCCGGCTAGCCAGATGCATAAGCTGGGAAGTCACATCTCTGCCCTCGAAACTCTCTGATCGGAGTTTAGCCCTATAGTTGTAAACCTGTTGACGAATCGCGTTGTCAGACGGGTATTTCTCATGTATCGCTGCCAATATTACCGCCGGTCTTGCCTGGGCGGCTGTCATGTCACGGACGATCTGTCTCGCCTTTTCACTCAATCCGCTGAACTGTCGATGACCCTCGGGATACAAAACCATCGGATGATTATGGTATCCCTTCTGGTCATCCAGAGGAAAACATACACTCTAGGAATCTTTCGTACCGGCCACTTTTTTCAATTTCATCTCAAACAGGCATTCAGTATATTTTGTTTTCGACTTTCTCAGGACAACATTAACAAGATTGGATATTTTATTACCTCGATAACGTTCCCCTCGGTTACACTTCATAATCCTCAATGTTCCTCCCTTTGTGTGCTTTAAATAATTAGTTCAAAACCACAGATAGTTGCCATACCGACTGCATAGTTAACAACTTTTTGAAGACTATCAAATATCTCATCTGTTCTGAAAAAAGGCCAATAATCAACATTATCTCCTCCAAAATCCTCAACTGGCGCCTGCAATATATTACAATGTATGTTACCAAAACATAATCAATTATAAGTAACCATTAAAAAATAATAATTTATATATAACAATACATTCTAAAAATATTATTACTTTTTAATAATAATATATATATATGACTAAAAATATTATTATTAAAAATATTATTATTTTTAATATATATTAATATTTTCATATATTATTATTTTTCATATATATTATTTTTAATATATATTTTTTTTGTATGTTGAACAATATATATTCTTATTAAAAATAATATAAATTAAAATATTAATTATATATAATATACAACTAATAATTATTAATATATAATTAATATATATAATTTATATATATATAATATAAATATTTAAGAAAAAAAAAAAAACTCGCGCCGGCCGGCCAGGCCGGCCGATTCAGCTCTGGCCGGTCCACGTTGCCGGCCAAAGATGGACCGGCCGGGCCAAGCCGAACCAGAGCTGGCCGGTACTAGCGGTCGGCCAAAACCGAATCGGGCGGCCTAGCATCCGGCTAGATCTGAACCGGCCGGCCGGCCGCGAAAAAAAAAAACGCACCTTCTTCGCCGTCATCGTCGCCGCCAGAGTTAGTCGGAATTTTTTTCGAAATTTTTCGAAGTCCAAAACCGGGAGAGATAATGTATAAAATGAATAATGAATTTGTTTTTTAATAGAAAGCGCAAAATCGACTTTTTGGGGCGGTAAATATTAATATGGGGAGGTGTTTATCAACACCCAAAAATTATATTTTTTTATGCAGGAATTCTGTTTTTTTATGTGCAGTAAAATTATCATTCGGTTTGAAATGTCCAAGATAATCGTGCGCACAATTTGACAAAATATTTGATTATTTTGACTAAGGAGGAAGGAAAAAATGGCATGAACTACCGTTGAAACTCGAAAGTCGCTCAATAGAAATTTTATTTGATATAAAATCATAATAAAAAATTAAAAGTGCTACAAAGCTACTATGAACACCAACTCTCATTCTCTGCACTGTAGTTAAAAGACACCAATTAACGAGGATACAAATAAAAAGAAAAAAAAAAGTGAAATAAAAAGAGTAAATAATTGGTACAAAAATTCTATAGAGCATCCGATGGTTTTTTTATGGAACCATCAATCACCTAATGTATTAACACATGTCTCAAGTGTATTTATTATAGGACACGTGTCATTTATGAATAACTATAGATGACTTTGTATGAATAACTATAAATGACTTCGTAAATCGAGCTCCGATGACTTTATAGCAAAACTGATAATAAAAAATGTGCAGGAGTGGAATTAGAATTACCGGAGAGAAGAGGACGAAGAAGGGCTTGTGTAGTGTAATGGTTGTGTCGCCACGTCACCTTAACCTTTCCCTTTCGACAATAAAAAGAGGAAACATTTGAATCAAATTCTCTTATTTACAACCCCAAACCAAAACCCCCCACTCGTCTCTGCTCACACAAACTTGTGTGTTAGTAATAGAAATCCAAGTGTTCATCCTCAGCGGAGCGGTGTTGCTTGCTAAGCTTTGTTCGTTTGCTGCAGGTACAGTGATTTGATTGCGTTATATATTCGGTGAATTGAATTGAACGGGTGAAAATATTCATGCCCAGTTCGTTAATTTCTGCCATTTGTATTAAAATTCCGTTTTTGTTTTTTATTAGGAATTCTCTTTGGATTGCTATTTGTTTTTTCCAGTTCAATTGATTAGGGTTTGTGGATTCATGGTTTTTTTTTTTTTTTTT